AGAGTCACAGGAACTGCGATAGGCAGGTCTCCCAAGAAAGCCCTGGGATAATGGAGAGCTAAGAGCTCACACAGCCTGCTGGAAGGCAGTGCCCATCCCTCTTGAGCCTTCTCACTGGCTGCTTTGAGCAGTGGGTAGCACTGAAGACAGTGGGTCCTAGGTCTCAGGCTAATGTCACACACATCACCCCCAGCTGTGGCTGGGCCCTGAATGGCTGTGTCAGGGGCTGAAGTCCTGGCCACAGTGGAAAGGGCAAGTTGGTAGCCAGACCCAAAGATGGATTTCCTTAGTGTCCCTTTTAGGCTGGTGGGTAGGATCTATCCACAGGCCCCTACCTACTATGGCTATCTTAAGTAAGGGCCGTGGTAGCACTGCCAAGTCTAGCTGCCACTAGGTTCATTAGGAATCCTGCCTGTAGGGGATGTTCCCTGGTGGCATGGAAGTAAACCCAAGGGTACGTTCATTCATGGAGTCAGAGTTCCTGGAGAGCCTGGCCTGAGGGCCAGCCAATGTCCCCTTGCTGGCTGTGGAGGCTAGGTAGGGAGGCAGGGGGCAGGTGAACCTCGGGCCATTTGGATCTATAATGTGGTCTTCCTGCCCAAGAAGGGGAGGGAGAAGCGATCCCTAGGTTGTTGTCAGAAATTTGGTCTTCATGCAGATCCTCATGAGTAGTTTTTAGGCGCCTAGAGAAGAGCCTAAGGTCCTCCTCGGGCCATGCCATGTGGGACTGGGAGCTGTGGGCATCGACGTGGATGGCATTTCTGCCATCCCTTCGCTTCTCTGTGCTCAGAAGCAGGAGGTGGAAGTGTCCCAAGCCCTCACTTCTGCTGTCTGCTTGCTCTGTCCAGGTGGATCTGAAGTGTTTCTGCAGCTGTGGCTGGCCAGGTGAGCTATGGTTCCAGGAACCCTGCTACTGCAGGACGGCTCCCACCCCGGTGGTTTCTTCTACTGGTGCTTAGCCCTGAACCCCTGAAACCTGAGGGGAGACAAGCAGGACCCTGGGGCAGCCCTTTGGGCATCTAACCATACCTCAGGGTCCAGGCTGTGGCTGACAGAGGGACCCCTGAGCAGGTCTCCAGGGGTTACAGTGTGTGGTCCCACCTCTACCCCAAGCCTTGCCCACCCAGGTTCCATTGTCGGAGGCTCTGCTGTTTACTGATCAGGTGGAGCTATGGCTTTCCTCCTGGCAAAGTCCAAGTTCCAGAGCCTACCAGCCTGCTGAACTCACAGTGGTGATAGGGATGATCATTATGGAAATGACTGTGGCCACTGGGCCTGTGCTCTGGCCAGATTCTTTTTGTGAGTCCCTTTAAGGTCAGCGAAAGGGCAGGGGCTTTGGTGGACAGCCAGACTGCATGGTCTTGTTACAGCCTTGTGGGGGCAGAGTGTCCCTTCCACCCAGGTGTGGGCCCAGCCCCATGACCTATTTTGGCCAAAGGAACCTATTGGTGACCAAGGGGCTTGTGACGCAGCAAGCCCCGAGCTGTAGGCAGGAACACGAGGCCCAGGTACGTGGTGATTCGGCGGCAGCAGCATGGGGCAATGCTGACCCACAGAAGCTCTGTACTGGCCCAAACAAGCTTGGGGGCCCAAGGAGACCACCAGAGGCTGTCTGCCCCTGTGGCCTTTGTGGGTGAGCCCAGAGGGGAGAAACTGAGGCCTCCTGTCAGGGCCAGCTTGCTGTTAGAGGATGCAGGGCTCAGTCAGCGTCCTGGTTAAACTATTTCCTTGGGGTGGCCTGACTTCCTTTCTCCCTGCCGTGGCTCCAGCCTGCCCAACCCATGTCACCAGAGACCCCTCCCAGGCTTCCCCTCATCCAGCCTTGCTGACCTGACCATGGAGACAGGCTGCCTTAGACCCTCTGGGCCAACCTGGGCCCGAGGAGAGCTGGCCCATCTCCCACCAGTCCAGGGCCCCATGGCAGCAGTCAGGACAGGCCAGCTGACACAGGACAAAACCTTTATTGCTGAACATAAAAGCCTGCCAGAGAGGCCTGACCAGGGGCTCTTTCCCAGTTAGGAGTCCTGGGCGGAGAAGGCTGGGGGCTATACCCATGATGGGGGACTGCCCATGGGTGAACCCTGCCTGATACCTCCTCAAGGAGCAAGGGCTGGGGCAAGTCCTAGATGTGAAGCCCAGGGGAAGGGAAGTGAGGTACAGGGGTCCAGCTAGGCAAGACTTTGGCCCAAGGAAGGAAGACAAGGTTGTGGGCATTCAGACTAGGGAAGGCTTGGAGCCTGGCAGGCAGAGCAGTACCCCAGAGGGTTGGTGGTGGTGGCTTCTCCTAGAGGGCCAGAATGGTGGGCAGAGCCTCCATGCTCTCCGGGGATGAGTCTGAGGTAGGTGCGGGCTGGTCCCTGGGTCCCTCACAGACGTGGTTTGATGTGTAGTGGCTTCCCTGCACAGAAAGAGCAAAGTTCAGGTTCAGGTGACCCCAGCCAGGAGGAACCACCCACACCCTAAGTTTCTGGTCAGAGTTCAGGATGAGGGAGACTCTACCAGCACAGGCCTGCCCAGTGGGGGCTTAAAACACCAGGCTGTGGTCTCCTGCCCACATGCCGACTGCCACTGGGCTGAGAACCTCTCCCCAGGGTCCAGGAGGAGCAGTCTGGGAATGCCCACAGGTAGGAGCCACAATGGTATGGGCCTGAGCTATATGTGGCAGATGCAAACAGACATGCAGACATGCACTGTGCTCACACCTGGGAATAGTTGCCAGACACATGCAAGAAGCTGAATGTGTGCAAGCAGGTGGCTGGGTGACAGGGTGGGAGCTATGCAGCAGCATTAGGTGTTGGAAGAGGGAGGGTCCCCAGAGAAAGGGCCTGAGGATGGAGACATGTCCCAGGGGGCTAGTGCCCAGGGGGCAGGGGCATACTTTTTGGGCCCTAGTGCCTTTCTTCCTCCTACATAAATACTCTAGGCTACCCTGGGCCACAGATTGCAGCGACACTGGTGTGGCTGCCCATAGGCAGGGCATGCTGTCCATGTCCCCTTTCCTATAGGACAGGCTGATGATTCCATTCACTGCTCAGCCAGAAGCCAGGTCCCAGCCTGCAGATTCCACCAGCCTTCAGCTTCCATCTCTACTGGATAGCTGCTTCAGCCACCCATCCCAGCCCAGCCACATCTGCCCTTTCAGCTTCTTGGGACCAAGCCCTGCATAGTCCCAGAGTCTGCTCCTGGCCTGCCCCAGTAGCCCACATGCCCCCCAGAGCCCTGTGTCTCCTCTGATCCTAGGACTGGCTGTTGGGATTCTGATCTTTAAAGAACGCAATAGGTGACTGGGGTTAGGGAGAGCTCTAAGGGGCAGAAGGATCAGAGCTGTTGGCTCCCTGTCCAAGTCCCAGCTAGGTGGGGGCCCAGCTGGCCAGGTTCCACATCTGACCAGGAGGATGTAACCAGGAGGCAGCCCCTCCAAGCAGGCGCTTGAGCGTGCTCAGCAGAGCTGTTACAGAAGCCTGCAGCAAGCATCTTCCATTAACGTTACGACCGTGAAATATGACAATAAAATGATAGCCGTATGGTCACAAATTTGCAGCCCGCCGAGCTGCGTGGGGTTTATCGTCACTCAAACGTGCGGAGAGCTGTAAAATGTTTACAGAAAGGGTCGTTTGCAGTCATAAAATCCTCTTTTCTCTCCTAAACAAGGCTGAGTGGAGCCATTTACCAAGCCCCAAATGCTCATTGGGGAGAGGGAACATCTGTTCTCTCCAGGAGTATGCAGTGATCTTCCAGAACAAATTAACAGAAATGGCTGCTTTCTAATTAAATCAGCCCTCGGCTCGGGTGGTCTGTGTGTGGCCACCACTGCGCTCACCCCTCACTGGTCCACTCCTGGCCAGCAGGTGCACACATGGTGCCCACTGACTTTCCAGGCCTGTACTTGGAGACCCTGGGAAGTGTGTCTGAAGTGGCTGGGCTTGTTCTTACCTGAGTCCTTGGTGAGGGGCCTCCTGGGGGCCCGGGGCTGGCCTCCTGGGCTTGGTGAGGCCCGCAGGGAGATGAAGGCTGGTAGCTTGCAGAGGCTGCCTGAGCCAGTCCCTGATGAGGTGGCCTCATCTTGGTGAGAAGGCTCCTCTTGGTCTAAGGAGTGGGAGGAACAGGAGGAAGAGGAGGAGGAGGAAGAGGAAGAAGAAGAGGCAACGTTCGCTGACAAGGGAGAGGCTGAAGCAAATCCCCGTGGAGAGGGAGGAGGTGAGGCTGGGGGTGCAGTCCGGGAGGTAGGGGAACTGGATGTCTTTCTGGTATGGCGCTGAGTTGCTAAGAGCTTCCTGCAGGAAAGAAGGGACAACAGAAGTGAAGGTGGGCAGGGATTGTGACACCGACAAGGCTTTTGGCCCTTTACTCCCACTTCCTGCTACAGGAGCTACTGGGCATCACCACACAGGTTCAAGTGCTGAGGCTCTAAGATACAGCCTGTGGCCTAAGGCATCAGGATACCTGGCCAAGGGGGCTCAGGATTGCCCGTTATGCCCCATCACCTCAGCCTCCCACTTTCTGGATCTTGGTGTTCTTGTCTGCAGAGGAATTTCTATACTCCATGGGAGGTGAGCATAACACAGAGATCCCTAAAACGCTCCTGGGGACCTGGCTCCCTCCATTTCCCTGGGTAATGGGTCTCTGAAGCCTCTATCTCCCTCTAAGGGCTGGGAATGCCCCTGGCTCCATACAGGGTGTAAGGCATCCCTGAAGGCCTTCTGCCTTGGACTGAGATTTCCTTTTGGATCTGAATCTCAAAGAGCTGGGGTGGGGCCTCATTCCAGAAGGTCCTCAATATCATCCATGCAGCACCCACTGCCCCATCACCTGGGCCCATGGCCAGTGGAGGCTCTGCTCCTGGGTGCTGCATCGCTGGGCCCTGGGGCAGGAGGCATAGCTGCCCGCCGGCTGTGTTGCTTCTGATTGCGATGAAGCAGTTGGCACTGGGCACCTCGGGGGCACATACCCCTGCGGGCGAAGTCAGGGCACAGCAGTGTGTGCTTCTTCTTGCACTGGGGGAAGAAAAGTATGACTAGGTGGGCTGGGGGATGTGGTGGGCTAGGTCCAACACCAAAGCAAATCTGGTGGCCCTGCAGGCTATCCACTGGGGCTCAAGTCAAAAGCTTCATTTTGGAAGGAGGAGGCTACCAGGCAATAGCAGCTCCATCTGGGCCCCTGAGTATAGACTGAAGGGAGGGCCAGAGCCAGCCTGGGGATTCCCAGAACCTGAGGCCAGGCCACTGCCGAGGGATCTGCCTACCTGCCACCCCTCCAGACAGGGCCAGTCCACTGTGACAAATGTGGTGAGAGACAGAGGAAGGTGGGTGGGGCCTGAGGCCTCAGAGACTCATGGCACAGGGTTCAGGCCTGGGGCCCAGGCAAGGGGGTGCAGCAGGTCAGCTGAGGGCAGGCAGCACTGGGTCAGGGCCGGGTGGGGCATGCTATCCATAGCACCTGTCATGGGCTAATTATACCCGCAGGGAGGTGGGGCAGTCGGGCAGGCAGGTGCCCCCAGAAATGGCTTGGTCTCAGCTCTGCCTGCCAGCCATAGGAAAGTGAGAAGCCTCTGCACAGCACCTAGGACCTGGGCCCAGCCAGGGCTCCCTATCCCAGGACAGAAATGGGTGATCACGGCCTGCCTTTGTGGCCTGCCAAGCCTGCAGGCTGCTGGGAGCCCAAGCCCATTCCCAAGGAGGGGTCCCCTACCTTCCTCAGCTGGCTCAGATGGGTGAGAGAGCCAGAGTGCAGCTGATATTCAATTCCAACTAGAACCCAGACAGAAACCGATGGGCCGTGGTGCTACACTTATCAGACTGGTATACCAGCTAAAGCTACAAACTGCAGTCTTAAAAGTCACTTCCCCTAGGTCTGTGACATTCCTACCAGAAGTGGTCCTGCATATAATGTCCTGACTTCTGGCACCCAGGACTGAGCACCAGGCCAGGGCAGATGCCTGCTCACAGTTAGTACCCCACGGTCCTGGGTCACTGCCCTGTGATGTGTACTTTCCACCCAAAGGACAGACTCAGGGAAGGGTTCATTCACACCCCTTCCACATGGAGTCTGAGCTTCTCAGTGCTGGGCTTGGCGAATGATGTGAAGCCTTGAAATACAGGGCGGTCTTGCAGGCAGAGGGCACAGGAGATGGTGCTGCCAGTTTTGTTTGTTTGTGATAGCGTCTCAGAATGAGGCTGGCCTTGAACTTGCTTATGTAGCCCAGGCTGGCCTCAAACTCGCAACAATCCTCCTCCCTCAGCCTCCTGAGTGCTGGGATTACAGGCGTGCACCAGATACAGACACTTTTGCCACACTAAAAAAGACCTATTAACAGAATGCACTTGAGCCAGGGCCCTGTATTGAGACAGTGGTGGGGTATAAACAGGTGGATGGTGAGAGTCACCTACAGCTATGGACCACAGTAGACACAAAGTGCTTGGCTGAGAGATGGCCAGAGATAGCAGACCTGTGCTGCCCTATGTAGTAGCCAATGAGCAGCTAAACCATGGCTGATATCAGCTGAGATATAATGTACATGTAAAACACACCAGAATTTAGACTTAAGGAAAAAAAGAATACAAAGTATTTTTTTTTTATGATATGATTTTGGGGGGGGAGGGTTGGAGTGGGACTGGTGATTAAGCCAGTACTAGTATGTTCCTAGCCTTATTATTTTTTTTTTTTTTTTACTTTATTTTGAGTTAAGTCTCACTAAGTTACCCAGGCTGGCCTCAAACTTGGAATCTTCCTGCCTTATCTTCCCAAGTAGCTGGGATTATGGTATTTCTGATATACTGAGTTAAATAAAATATATTTCATCTAGTGTGTGTGTATATGTTGCTAGGGACAGAACTCAGAGCCTTGCATATGCTAGGGAAGTGCTTTGTTATAATCTGTGTCTTTTTTTAAAACACTTTTTAAAAGTAGCTACTAAACCTGAAATTATACATGCAATTCATACATATTTTCACTGGACAGTGCTGATCTGAACTAACCTTTTTCTTAAAACAACCAAAATTCTAGGTTAAAATGTAAATATTTTTCTCAAATCAAGGTATAGTGGCACATACTTGTAATTCCAGCACTTGGGAGGCTGAGTCAGGAGGATTGCCATGAGCTCAAAGACAGCCTGGGCTCCACAGTGAGTTCAAGGCCAGCCTGAACTACATAGCAAGACCTTCTCGAAAGAAAGAAAGAAAGAGAGAGAGACACAGAGAGAGAGAAAGAGAGAGAGAGAACAGGAAGAAAAGAAGCAAGCAAACAATGAAGAAGAAAAAATAAAACAATGGAAAAAAAAAAAAACTTCTAGGAAACCACAAGCATGAAGCAAATCTCCAATTCCTAAGCCCTGATCTTCACCTGAGCACCTTTATGATGCAAAGCATGCTCAACCAACTCCCCTTCCCACAACCTGAAAATTAAAAAAAAAAGAATTCCATTATATAATTCATCAAACTAAGGAAAGTTAGATAATATTTACAACCAAGCAGTAACACTAAAACAGCATATCACGATTCATGGGTGGACAACATCAGGACTTAGAACTACATAACCTTAAACTCTTATTTTACAGAAGAAAACTCATCTTAAAAGGTAAGTGGGAAACGGCAAAATGAACCCACAGAATGTGAGAGAAAGAAAAAAATCCAACAAAACAGAGTTGTAATTAAAGCCCATGGAGTTGAAGGGTGGCTTTCTGAAAGACTAATCAGGAAGTCGAGAGAATGACACACAAGCAATACTGGGGGTGATGAATCACAGCTGATGCTGAGGATGGGAAACACCGGTGAGAAACAAGGAACAGACTACGATAGTTTGAAAACAAATGAACATTACAAATTCTAAAAAACCTGACAAGCAACCCCTCCCCCGTGAAAGTTCTAACTATAAAGGAATTTCAATTAGTACTTAAGAAGTAAAGAAAGCTCCAAACCAAAGAAGTTACACTTGTGGTTCTACCAAATATGAGACAAAGAATGCCAATCTTTCATGAACTGATGCAAGGGATGGGAAAACAGAGAACAACTGTTTATGTGGCCAAATAGCCTTGAAACCAAAGCCAGTCCAGGACTTGCTGAGAAAAGGACATGCGGGCCACTGTCATTCATAAGCACAGTGCAAACGTCCTATATAAGCTAGAGTCTGGTCAGGTACAAAGACCCTCACCCACCAGACAGACCGACAAATAAAGCTGTTTTAACATCAGAACACCAATCAACAAGAAATGAACAAAAAGAAAAAAAAATTAAAATCAATAAACAGGAATCAGTACATTAACAGGCTAAAAAGGCAATTATGTAATCACCTGAATACATATAAAAGTACCCAACAAAATTAAACCCCAATTCAAAGTTAAAAGAAGAAATACTTAGCAAATTGGTGACGGAAGGGAACTTTCTTAAACTGATATAAGGAACCTTCCTGAAAGCATCATTGGGGAGAAATCCCCTCCCCAAATCTACAGGTACTTGGCCTCAGCAGCCAGTAGATCAGGCAAGAAAAAGAAAATGTGGTATACTCAAAAAGAGGAAAAAATGTCACTATTTGCAAATGATGTTATTATTTAGAAAAATCCAAGAGACTCTACAAATTATTATAAATGCTAATAATGGTTTAGTAAGGTCGCTGGAAATAAAATCAACATAAAATTGTTTTTCTATATGCCAATGAACAGTGAGAAAATAAAATTTAAAAATCCAGTATGCTATTTATAATAATAGAAGTTATTATTAGGAATAAATTGAGCAGAACAGAGCTGGAAGCAGACATGTGGAAGAACCTGACTCACAGGCTGGAGCTACACAGCCACTGGAGAAGACAGGCTGCCTGAGTGTGGTGCTGTGGCCTGTGCAGCTGGGTCCTGGCTCACGCCTCAGTTTGATTAAAGAGTCCAGGTCTAAATAGAGAAAGCAATTTAGCAGGATTTGGGATAGAGCAGGCTCTCTCATACAAGACAGTAAGGGCACAAACTGTCTAGAAAAGACTGATAAGACCACACCCACTAAAACCAAGTAATTTTGTTCATTAAAATAAAGAAGCAAAACAAAAAACAAAAAACCACAAACTGGGTCAGGGATTCAGGTCAATGGCACAAGTGCCTGCCTGGCAGGCAAAAGGTTGTGAGTTCGATCCCCAGTGCCAAAAAAAACCCCATAAACTGGGAGAAGACATGTGCTACTTATGCACCTGACAGAACATTAATACCCAATTACCTCTTGTATTTAGGGTCCTATCTCATATTCACAGACTTCTTCCAAGTCAGTAAGAAAAAGTAGACCCCATGCAGAAATGCCCACCCTCACCGAATAGTACCTGACAAAAAGTGCAAAGAGCTCAAACACAGGAAGAGGTACCAGCGAACTTGAAGTTCGACATGCAAAGTAACTTTGAGTCTATCCAACAGTGAGAAGGAAAGCAGGCCTAATGTCTCAAGGGCTCTTGTGCAGCCCCAACCATGTGGCTCCGCCCATGTGTGCTCTAAGCACTGTTCCTCATGTCACAGTCCCCAAGCAAAGCCAAAACTACATGCAAATAGCACTCCAGTCACCTGCCTTTTTTTTTCTTTCTTTTTACTATTTTTTTTTGTTAAATTTTTATCGGTACCGGCAATCGAACTCACAACCGCCTGCTTGCAAGGCAGGTGCTTATGCCGCTGAGCTAAATCCCCAGCCCCTACCTGCATTTTTCACTGGCACAAAGACAACAGTGAGTGAATCTTGTGGTGGTAGAAGCCTGCATTCTGTCCCAGAGCATGTGACAGGGCATGGGCCACTATGCACACAAGATACTCCCCACAGTCCTTCCTTGCTGCTGCCCAACTCAGGGACGCACTGCGCATGGTGGTGGCCATGCTGGCAGGTGGCTGTGTTCCTGCAGCTGGTGTGGAGAAGACAGGAACCATGTAGACTTGAATAGTATTGCTCCTCTTTGGCCAGAAATGGACGGTTTCCACTGGCCTGTCCACAGCAAACCCTACAGTCAGTGTGGCCAAGAGCTGCCCAGCCTCTCACTTGTCAGTCTGTCCAGAACCAGGCCCTGGCCATGTCCAGCACCAACCCTACCAGAGGACCTTGTGCTTCCACTGAATTCACCAGCCTCCTTCCCACCTTGGAGGAGGTTCCAGATGCCCTACCCACACCTCTGGAGTGCACCTCCACCCATCTTTGTTGACCTTGCCCTGGTCAAGGCCTCCTTTGTGCTACTCTATCATTCATCCTAAATTTGGTAAGTAAATGCAAAGTAGGAAATGGACACTGGTGGAAAACTGAAGGAAATCTACATGCAGCTCAGAGGGAAGTTGGCAGAGAATGCACTTAAGATAGTCTTTCAGCCCTGACATTGGTGGACTGGCTGTGGTTATGGAGGATGCTAACGAGAGAGAGATGGGACTCCCTGTGGAATCTCTGTATGTTTTTGGTAAATACAAATGATCTCAAAGTAAAGTTTATTAAATTCAAATAATTCCCTAAGTTACCTATTCCTTGGTATCAAGAATACTTTAATATATATGCTAATTCATTTCATTTATACTCCCAATTTCTCTTAATTCATTGAAACTCTGCTAAGATCTGTTTGTTTCTCCTTTGTAGGAATCTCTTTTTGTCCCTGAGTAAGTACACTGAAGATAATGATATGTTAACTATTGTTTTGTTACAAAATTTTTTATTTTATAAAGAAACAAATTTAACAAATATTTTTTAGAAGTTTATTAAATACAATAAATGACTACAAGACTTCTGCCAGGCATGGAGCAGCACACGCCAACAGAGGCAGCTTTTGACACAAAGGGCTGGCAGCAAGTTAACAAAGCCAGGAAGGGACCTGGACCCTGAAGCTGTTCAAAGCATCAGAGCCCCACAAGGACAGGATCTGAGCTCAAAGGTGCAGGCCGAGTTGGGCCGGCACCTGAAAGAAAGCAACAGCGGTCAGGGGAGGACTTGGGGCTCCTTTAGGTACTCTGGTGTTGAGGCAAGATGCTCCAACAGGTGAGTCTGAGGAGCACACCTTCTGGAACTGCCCACTTCAGGACAGGGCCGGGGCAGCCCCTGGAGAGGAGGGAGGAAAATGGGGTCACAGGACGGGGCCTGGGAGGGGGATACTTACCGTGAGTGGATGAGTGAATGGATAGAGGCTGGGTCAGTGGGTGGCTGGAAGGCACTGTGTGTGTGGCTGTGACAGGACAAGGACAGAGGACAAGAGCTAAGGTCAAAAGGCTGGCAGAGGCAGAGGATTGGTACCAGGATCCCCTCACCATGGGAAAGAGGGTCAGGGGGCTGGAGCTTGAAAAGGGAAGGCAGCTGGGAGAGGACCAGGTGTGAACAGGACTGCTTCCATGGCAAGTGTGCAGAGGGGCCTGAGTACAGCCAAGGGCATTGGAGACCACATGCAAAGAGGGAGAGCCCGATCCTCCTGTTGCTTTTACCAACAAAACAGGAGCAAAACAGGAGCCCAGTCAGTGCTGGGAACTTAAGGCAGGAAGTGAGAGAGGAGCTGCAGAACCCAACATGAGGAATTGACAGAGAAATTATAATAGAGATCAATGAAAGAAATGAGGGATCTGTGATAACAACACTATCCATCCTCCAGCAGGGGGTGGTGGTGTGCACCTGTAATTCCAGCTCTCTGGGAGGCTGAGGCAAGAAGATCCCAGGTTTAAACTCACCCTAGGCAACTCAGAGAGACCCTATTTCAAAATAAAAAGGGCTGGGAGTGTAGCTCAGAGTGAAGGTACTGGGTTTAATCTGCAGTAGAGAAAAAAAGAAAGAAAGGAAGGAAGGAAGGAAGGAAGGAAGGAAGGAAGGAAGGAAGGAAGGAAGGAACAAAGAAAGAAAGAAAGAAAGAAAGAAAGAAAGAAAGAAAAAAGGGGCTGGTTTTCAAGAGGCCAGCATGAGTCCCAGAAAGGCTGTCCTAGGTAGAACAGACAGAACATGGTGATGTGAAAGAGCTTTGGTCCTGCAGGGTGCCAGACACTCTGACACATCTGTGCCTTGCAGCCTAGATGGAATGGGCCACTATCTTAGGAAAAAAGGAACCAGGACTGGCATAAAAAGAAACAGAAAGGACCCCCATGCCAGGAAGGAGCAGGCACAGTGTTCCTGGCCCTCTGCTAAGCACTGGGTGGACTCCAAATGGTGCAGAATAGCAGGCAGACCCCCAGTACAGCAACACAGTGGGTCGCTGGGTTTCCAACTTTGCCTCATACGTCCCAGTCCTGAATTGACAGAGCAGGCCACCCAGAAATGCCAAGTACAGAGAAGGGACAGCTCTGCAAGACAGGCAACCTACTCCAGCAAATACCTCCAAAACCCTGGTTGACCGAATGGGAGTCCAGGCTTTATTTATTTGTTTATTTGGTGCTGGGGATTGAACTCACCACTTTGTACTTGCCAGACAGACACTGTGCCACTGAGCTATATCCCCGGCCCAGGCTTTATACTAATCAGGAAGAAGGGTGGCCTCCCCCAACCCTTGCTGGGTGGAGGAACGCTCAGACTTCCACTGCCACACATCGACTTCCACTTCCACACATATCCACAGTCGACTGGATATGTCTTTATCCTTGACAGAAGGTGCCAGTGGACTAAGTGTGAAGTAAGCACAGAGGCACCTTCCCGGGAACAGCAGCGACTCCTCTATAGAGCTGCCAAGGCCAACTGCGAACAACTGTTTCACTCCCACCTGGTAACAAGGTAGCAGCTCCTGCTACTCCCCAGTGACAGTAATGATGCCCATGTTTCAATGGAAAAATGACTCATGATACCAAGAACATGGAAGACTTTCACAGAATGAAGAAATAAGTGACACATGCCAACACCCACAGGTGTCAGAGTCATTGGACATGGATTGTAGCTGCAGGTCAATAAGCAAATATAACACGTTCAAGGCAAGGTGAGGTACAGCTGTGTAGTCGAGCTATTACCTACTATGCATGAGACCCTGGCTTCTATCCCAGAAGAAAAAAAAAAGAGGAAAGAGGGGAAGGGAGGCAATGACAACAGAAAACAAAAAGTCACAATAGAACCAAATGCAAAGTTTAGAATTGAAAAATATAATATCTGAAATAAAAACCTCAGCATGTGGGCTGAGCAGCAGATTATAAATGACAGAAATGGACAAAAAATTCAGTAATCTGAGCTAAAGACATATAATCAGACTTAGGAGACCTAGAGACCTGCAGGATTACAACAAAGGAACCATCATTCAGGCAACTAGAGATACAGAAAAAAAAAAGAAAAATAACTCAAAGAAATAATGAAACTTCTCCAATTTAGTATTTTTTAAAAAGCGGAATAAAGAACTGAGTGAACTCCAATGAGGATAGTAAAGAAATCCACTCAAATATATTATAGTCAAATTTGTGATAGCTAAAGACAATTCTCAAAGTAGCCAGAGAGATATGACACTTTATCTAAGGGGAAATCTCAAATGACAGTGAGTTGCTTGTCAGACTCCAAGGAAGATGGAAGGAAACAGCAAGCCATTTTTCAGGATGAACTATCAGCCCAGAATCTTACATTCACAGACTTATCCTTCAGGAAAGAAGGGGAATCAAGATATTCTCAGACAGGGGCTGGAGATTTAGCTCAGCGGCACAAGCGCCTGCCTTGCAAGCAGGCAGTCGTGAGTTCGATCCCTGGTACCGATAAAAACGAAAAAAGACAAAAAAAAAAAAAAAAAAAAAGATATTCTCAGATGGAGGAAAACTAAAAGGGTTTGTCACCCACAGACCTACACTGAAAAGTATAGGGCCAAGTGCAGTACCAGCACCTGTAGTCTCAGCTTCACAGACTGAGGGAGGATGAGATTAGACCCAGGACTTCATGGCAAGACCCTGTCTGAAAAGAAGAAAAGCTAGAAGTAATTAAAGGAGACCCTCTAAACACAAAGGAGGCAATGGAAAAAACAAACAAATAAACCCTTGAATGGTAGGAAGAAATGAATAGGATAAACAAAAATATGGATAGATATACTACACTTTCCTTCTCTTCTTGAATTTTCTAAATTAAGTTTGATGGTTGAAGCAAAAATTATAAGAATGTCTAATGTGTTTTGTTTTTTATTTTTTGTCTTTTTGAGACAGGGTCTCATTACATAGTTCAGGCTGGCTTTCAGCTCACTTTGTAGCCCAAGCTGGTCTTGAACTCACAATGATCCCCCTGCCTCAGCCTCCCAAGTGCTGAGATTACAGGCGTGCGCCATTATGCCTAGCATCTAATGTTTTAAATGTATGTAGAAAAAACATGTATGACCACAGAATTCAAGGGTTATTGAATAAGAGAAGAAAAGTAAAAGAACATAAAGAAAGGTGAGCTTCCTATACTTTAACTGATAAATTGCCACTGCAGTGGACTTCGCTAAGTTTTGAATACACAGTGTGATCCTAGGGCAACCACTAAGAAAGCCATGTTACATAATGTGCATTATATGCTGCGTATTTATTAGTCATATATTATATAACATAAATACCAACATATATTTACATACAATATATAACACAATATAATTTTTTAAAATTTTCAAGTAACTCACATGAAGGCAGGAAAGTAAAACAAAACAGAGAAATAAAAACTACAAAGTACAGAAACCAAGTCAAATGGCAGACTTAAGCCCTAAATAACTACTAAATGTAAATGGTATAAATATGTGAATTAGAGAGCAGAGATTGGCAGAATGAATTTAAAAAACTATCTACTGTCTACAAAAAAGTTACTTCAAATAAAAGAAAAAAAAAAGATATCTCAGACAAACTTACTCAAAACAGAAGTGTCTTTTTTTTTTTTTTTGTCTTTTTCATTTTTATCGGTACCAGGGATCGAACTCATGACTGCCTGCTTGCAAGGCAGGTGCTTATGCCGCTGAGCTAAATCTCCAGCCCCAACAGAAGTGTCTTTATCAATACCTGAAAGATTTCAGAGCAATCAAAGTTGGCAGGGACACAGGACATCATACAATGATAAAAGGTTCATGTGTCAAGAGGATATAGCAATTCTAAATATACAGATACCAAACAACAGAGATGTGAAATATGAAGGTAAAACCTGATCAACATAAAGGGGAAATGAAAAGTTCCATGATTATAGTTAGCGACTCACTTAGTTAGAAAATTGGAAGGATCTAGAACTCAAAATATCCTTTTTTCTCTTTTTGAGACAAAGTCTCACTATGCAGTTTAGGTTGGCCTTGAGTTCACTTTGTAGCCCAGACAGGTCTCAAACTCACAACGATCCTCCTGCCTCAGTGTCTTGAGTGCTGGGACTACAGGTGTGTGGTACCAACAAGAATATCTTCAAATAGCACAATCTATTAGAAGTTTACAGAACAAATAACTGCAGAAGAAAACATATTACTCTTGGTGTGCTGTACTCCTTTGTACTGTACTTCTTTACACAATATGTTGCTGGAGCCTAATGTTCTCACATATAATAGCTGAAAAGAATAGAAAAATTTGTGGTCATCTCTTAAAGAACTGAGTACAAAATAAATAAACCTTAAAATAATGACTAAAGTTACAAGTCTAAATGTGAACCATTTTTAACTCAACGCAAGCAATGACTCGACTTCTTATGGGAAAATGCTAGCTAAGAACAGAAGCTAGGTCTTGAGGCTTTGGATTCCCCACCACTGCACGTAACACAATCTTTCCAAGTGTACATGGGCTATTCACCAAGACAGACCATATCCTACACCATAAAGCACACATCAAGAAATTTAAAGCAATTAGCTGGGCATAGTGGTGCATGCCGATAATCCCAGCACTCGGGAGGCTGAGGCAAGAGAATCGCCCCCACATGAGTTCAAGGCCAGTCTGGGCCACATAGTGAGTTCAAGACCAATCTGAATGGCATAATGAAACCTTGTCTCAAAAAAAAAAAAAAAAAAAAAAAGCAAAAAGACAAAAGAAAGAAATGTAAAGCAATTAAGATTAACATCATACAGAGTATAATCTTCATCATGATGGGATCAAACCATAAGCACAGAAAGATAACACAAAAAAATCTTCAAACATTTGGAAACTAAACAACATACTTATAAATAATCCACAAGTCAAAAAGAAAGTCTGAAAGGAAATAAAAAACCATAACTGAATGAGAATACCTCAAGATTTGTGGGATACAGCTGAGTAAATATATTAGAAAAAAGGAAAAAACAATTCAAATTGAAACCTAAAT